GAGCACTTTGTTTGGTGCTTTTCCATCTGGAGCACTTCATCTGGAGCACATAGTCCGGAGCACTTTCGTCTGCTGAACTTCGTCAGGTGTACCTTTGTTTGTAGCTCTTTCGCCTCAAGCATTCTGTCTAGAGCACTTCGTCTAGAGCACTTTGTCGGGAGCACTTCGTCAAGAGCACTTTTTCTGTTGCTTTTTCGTATTGAGCACGTTCGTCTGGAGCACTTTGTCTGGAGCACATAGTCTGGAGCACTTTTGTCTCGTAAACATTGTCTGGTGCACTTCGCGTGGTGCACTTCATTTGAAGTACTTTGTCTAAAAGCACTTCATCTGGTGCACTTTGTCTGGTGCGCATTTGTGTGGAGAGCTTTCGTTTGGAGCACATTGTCTGGAGCACTTTCGTCGGGAGCACTTCGTCTGGAGCACTTCGTCTAGTGCACTTCGTCTAGAGCACTTCGTTTGGAGCACTTCGTCTTGAGCACTTTATCTGGAGCACATCGTCTGGAGCACTTTGTCTGCAGCACTTCGTCTGGAGCACTTCGTCTGGAGCACTTCATCTTGTGCACTTTCGTTCAGAGCACTTTGTTTGGTGCACTTCGTTTGGTGCACGTCGTCTTCTGCACTTTCGTCTAAATCACTTTCGTCTAGTGCACATCGTCTACTACACTTCGTCTAGAGCACTTCATCTGGAGCACTTTGTCTGGTGTACATTTATCTGGTGCACTTTTGTTTCGAGAAATTTCTTCTGGTGCATCTTCGTTTAGAGCACTTTCGTCTGGAGCACTTTGTCTGGAGCACTTCGTTTGGAGCACTTCATCTTGTGCATTTTCGTCTGGAGCACTTTTGTCTGGAGCACTTTCGTCTGGTGCACTTTCGTCTAGAGCATTGGGATTGTTCGAAGACTTGCTTGCGAGGAAACATCAGCTATGAAATCTGTTGCCTTGCAGGAACCTGCAGCCAAGAACAGTGGGAGAAACAAGCTGCAGAAATTTCCTCCAACACACACCCAGAGCGTGTTCAGTTGAATTCTAGAGAACCGACTTCGGTTTCGGTTTCGGACTTGGTGTCGGTTACCAAAATCCGAATTCCGCGGTTGCCAGAATTTTGCGGTTTGCAGAATTCCGCGTGTTATGAATTATAACTCAGAGTATAGCGCAGAATACTATAGGGGAACGTGATTACAGAGTGTCCTATCCAAATGAGACCTAGGGCTTATATAGTGTGAGTTGACCAGGTGGAATGTCGAGGGTTGGACCAGTCAAGGGCTCGACAGTCCGAGGGTGACGGGGTCAAAACGGGTTCATGGCGACTCGGGGTCAGGTTGGGGCCGAAAAGGTCGTTGGGGGCGGGTTTGGCGCGATAACCCAGGGCCGAGCCTACGGACCCGCACTGTTCGCGGTACTCGCTGTGGCGAGTCCCAGTAAGGAATCGGAATTCCTTACACTCTCCCACCTTCTAAAGGAAAGCCCTTCCTTTATCGATGTCGAACCTTTTATCTAATTTAATCCCCGAAGTGACTGTAAGTCTTTAGCCCCGTGACGAGCGTAATGATTACGCGGGCCGGACGAAGTGACGAAATCAGGTGCAGAAGCGTAACGATGATGAATGTCGGTCGCAAATGGTTAATAGAACACGCCGGAAAGTCGTCGGAAAATTGCAGCACAGCTGCCCTTCTCCCCCCTTCAAAAGAAAACAACTCCCAAGTTCCCAGGTAAAACGTCAGAAAACCCAATGCTCCAGGGGCGTCGAAATAAGCCCAAACAGCTGCTGAAAATCCCAGTACTCAGCTTCCAAGATGCCGCTGCAAAACTCCAACTGTTGCAAACGTGTAATGTCTCCACAGGGAAAACCGCTCCAATGGTCTTGAAATTCCGCAACGACTGCTTCAGAAGACTCCCACACGAACATTTTTTTTTTTTTTTAACACAACTTGCGAGCTGGCCCCTACACAGCTCCACAGTACTGCTGCAAAATTGCCGGTGAATCCGATACTGCTCCTGATGGGTGGCGTTGTTGCAGCGGGGTCGTGTTTACAGTGTCTTACGAATCAGGCGAAATGACAATGGAGGTGGTAGCGGTTGATGATGAAAGGCTGTACCGAACCACTCCCGTGAAGATCCTCGAACAGAACCCCATTTCAAATGATACCAGCTGCATCCGCTTTTTTGTCCGTGCCCGCCGAAAATTTCGGGAAGAGTCGAAACTGCTACTGCCCCCCCTCTGCTCCATATAACTAAAACACACCGCAAATGTCGGTCGATGTCGCTCGTACCCCTGAGGATGGCGGGCACAGCTCTGGCTGTTAATTCTTCACCCGCTGCACAAACTCTCCGAAAATGTCGGAACCACGCAGTACTTAGTAAGTACCGTAACTCCCACAACTAACCGTAAAAATGCCCAGGCGGCACGACGTCCTTTAGCAGCGCCCCCACGATTTCTCCACCAGCTGTACGCATGAGCTGAAACCTTATCGTAGGGTTTACCAGAGTCCACCGCCTCGGCATGATGTTTTGGCCGTCGATCAGGGTCAATGCGCATCATACGCCGTCGATCTCCTCACAGCTATAACCCAACACTAAAATTCTCCGGTACCCCTGTCCAGCTAGCCGTGCAGACATTCACCCATCTCGCGGCTGCTGCAAGTGACCCAAAACTGCTTTCCTGCTGCTTAACTAACTAGGAAGATCCGCAGAGATAGGAGTGCGCACGCTTCTAGTCAGAGGAGCTTTAACGAGCTCGCCTACTGACCGCTCGACAGCTCCCGCCTCCGTCAGAAACTCGTCAAACTACACCCGCAAAAGTCGGAACCTCCTTCTGCCGCACCAGGTAAAATCCCTCAGCTCCACTGCAAAAGTAACGCCGAAATTTTCGGCGACACTCCATCAGCACAGTGTAGTTTGCAGGTTCACCCCCCTTATTAATCAAGAAGCCGTCGAGTTAGAAGTCGACACTGCTACCTGGTGGGAATGGTGATTTTAGGGTGACGTAGCTGAGCGAGTAGCAGCCCGAATGCCGCTAACCCATCTGCTCCTCTCCCGTCGTTCTTCTCCCACTGCTTCAACTCCTGACAGTTAACGCGTTCGACGACCGGTGGAAAACACTTAATACACACCCAAGGGTGAGCAAGATGGGTGGACGCAGAACCGGAGGAGGACTCGCCAGCCGGGGAGGGAGCAGTGTCCAGCGTAAACAAGCCAGACACAGGGTCCCAGGGGAACGTTGCAAGGGGGGCACCTGAGGCGACCTCGGAACAGACCGCGTACCGCTCGTGACCAGGGAACGTAGTGGTGACGCCGAGGTCCTGAAGACAACCGACACCAACTAAGTTCCTGGAGAACGAAGGGATGTGCAGGCCTGTAAGGGAACCTGAGGGAACCGCCGGACAGGGAAGGGTAGTGTAGCTGTGAGCAACTACAGGACCAGAGGAGGGGTCCGCAAGGGCGACAGCGGCATGCACAGCAAGCGGTGTGAGGGCGGCGTGGTCGCGGAAGAAACAAGCTGACGCACCGGAGTCTAGAGTGAAGGACATCGGCGCCGTAGTGGCCGACAATGGAGGAGCAAGGGTAGAGCCTAGGCTAGACAACGCAAGCTGTCCTACGCCTGACGCAGCAGGGGAGTCTGGACTACACACAGGTGCGACGCCTAAGCTAAAGAACGCAGAGTAACACGATCCGGAAACACTCGAAGCGTCAGCATACAGAGAATGCAAGGAAGAAGTAATCTGATCCATGTCTAAGTCAAAAACAAGCACACCATGGCGCAGCAAGCTGGGCCAGTCATGAAGGTCCAGGGCGGGGCCAAAGCAGCGACGGAAGCAGTGGCGGTGGGGTGCGAACAACTCGCACGCCACTTTGGTGGGTGGCAAACCACTCGCATGCTACTCTTCTGGGGGGTGGCAAACCACTCGCACGCCACTTTCGAGGGGTGGAAAACGACTCGCACGCAACTCTGGAAGGTGGCAAACAACTCGCCCGCAACTTTTGAGGGGTGGCAAACCACTCGCACACCACTCGGTGGGGTGGCAAACCACTCCCAAGCCACTCTGGGGGGTGGCAAACCATTCGTATGCCACTCTCAGAGGAAAACCACTTGCACGCCACTCTCATGGGGTGGCAAACAACTCGCAATCCACTCTAGGGGTGGCAAACCACTCGCACGCCACTCGAGGAGGTTGAAAAATCGCTCGCACGCCACTTTCGGGGGTAGGCAAACATCTCGCACGCCACTCTTGGGGGGTGGCAAACCACTCGCACGCCACTGTCAGGGGGCGGCAAACCACTCGCACGCCACTTTGGGGGCGTGGCGAACCACTCGCACACCACTCTGGGGGTGGCAACCCTCTCGCACGCCACTCGGGGAGGTGCCAAACCACTCGCACACCACGTGGGGGGTGGCAAATTACTCACACGCCACTCGAGGGGGTGGCAAACAACTCCCAAGCAACTCTGAGGGGTAACAAACCATTCCCACGCCACTCTCGGGGGTGGAAAACCACTCGCACGTCACAGTAGGGGGTGGCAAACCACTCGCACGTCACACTACGGGGTGGCAAACCACTCGCACGCCACTCTTGGAGGGTGGCAAACAACTCGCACGCCAATCTTGGAGGGTGGCAAACAACCCGCACGCCACTCGGGGGGGGGTGGCAAACCACTGGCACGCTACTTTCGGTGGGTGGCAAACCAGTCGCACGCCACTCGCGGGGGTGGCAAACCACTCCCAAGCCTCTCTGAAGGGTGGCAAACCATTCGCACGCCACTCTCGGAGGGTGGCAAACCACTCCTACGCCACTCTCGGGGGTTGGCAAACCACTCGCACGCCACTCTGGGGGGTGGCAAACCTCCCGCACGCCACTCTTGGAGGGTGGCAAACCACTCACACGTCACACTGCGGGATGGCAAACCACTCGCACGTCACACAGCAGGGTGGCAAACTATTCGCACGCCACTCTTGGAGGGTGGCAAACCACTCGCACGCCAATCTTCGAGAATGGCAGGCTGGTTGGTCCAAAGGTCACTTCGGCCTTGCTCTTCTGCAGTCGCCGCACAGAGAGAAGGTTAGCAGACAGACCTTCAACCAGCAGAACATTCCCAAGCCCCACAAGTTCCCCATTGGCTCCCTTAACCTTGGCATTCCCAACACCAATCACGGGGAGCAAAGCACGTGACGCTGCTGCCACATACTTGATCTTCCCAGGGGGTTTTACCTCATCAAGCAAATCTGCCCGTGGGGTCATGTGACTGGTGCAACCTGAATCAATCACCCAGTGCGTGAGAGGGTGCATCACAACCTTTCCCACAGATCCCACATCACCCTCATGCCCATGCATATCCTCAACCATGAGAAACATCCCAGGATAGGCATTACCTTGTGCACCTTCACCTTGTGCACCTGAGCCTTGCAGAGCGCCACCTTGTGCGCGTTCACCACTGGGCGGCTTCATGCCTGGAGGTGCCCATCCCTCCGGCCTGCTGAAGCACTTGAACCAAGGATGCCCGACCTTCTTGCAGTACCAGCAGGTGCCCTCCATTCTGGTACTCCCCCTACCACCAGAGCTCCCATGCCCCTCATTATAGTCACCTCGGCCTCTACCTCTGCCAAAGCTCCTCCCACGGCCTCGGCCTCTCCAACCCCCTCTTCCTCTGCCGCGCCCTGCAGCTCCATACCCCTCAGCAGTCTTAGTGGGAGCACCGCCTCCCACATGGCGTCTGCGGAAGTCCTCCTGCAGAATCTGCTGCCTTAGCCACTCAGGTGTCCATTGATCTTGCTGAGAGTTGAGGGTGGGGATGAGGTTGTCCCAAGAGTTGTCCAACACCGAGATGATCTTGGTGCACTGCTGCAGCTGAGATACACTGCTGCCCGCTGCTGCCATCCTTGCATAGGTGTCCTTGATCTTGTCAAGGACCGGCTTCACATCGTCCCCTGGTCGCATGGAGATGGCAGCAAGTTCCTTCTCGAGCACGATCACCATCGGGAGAGTGTTGGGCTGAATCACATTGCGTAGTAGTTTCCACGCCCTTGGACCCGAATCATCCGCTTCCACAAGATCCTTGATGTGCTCGAACATCTCCTTGTTGACCGATTGAAGGATGAGGTCAAAAAGCACCGCGCTTTTCTCAATCCACCGCTCACGTGCTTCGCCTTCTTCCGGCATCTTCTCCTCCCCAACAGCAATCTTCAGTAGCTTGTAGCGTTTGAAGGCACTCCTCATGCGCCCGCTCCATTCCTCATAGTTGGAGCCATCCAAAGCTTCAACTTTTGATGGTGGCGGCTCACTTGTCTTCTCAGGTACAGCTCCTCTTCCATTAGCATCTCCTCCTCTCTCATTCATCTTCTCCTTGAGAAATGACGAATTTCAGCTCCCCCTTTGCTGTCCAGACTCAGCTCCCTCGATATTTTCACAAGTGTCGGCGTCCACGAAATTTCGGCAGAGTTTCCCCTTAGCGGAAGTCACATCCAACATTTAGAACACCACTTAGGCACGCCCACAGGCCATGGTGGGTCTAGAAGGGTCTTCACACTTCTGTAGACTCCTCTCAATGCCCTCAATATGGCTCTGATACCACTTGTTAGGATTAAGGACGGAGTCTAGGTGAACTTAGGAGCTAGAATTACTCAAAATATATATCCGAAATTCTGGACAGAAAAGTCGTCTTCACAAGAAACGACGTCGACGAACAACTAGCTGTTGGAATGTCGCGAAACTCGGATATGTTGTAGCTCTCAATCTTAGCTACCGTTCTCAATTTGAATCACGTCGATTGATGAAGTATTCGCGACGCTATGTCTTTCGACGCACTGAGGGGTAAGCTGTAGGAGGAGAACTTAACTCAATCTCAAAAGTTCAATCAAGGTTCAAGAATCTCACAAGAAAAATTAGAGGAGCAAGAGAAAGGTTGGGATGGAAGAGAGGGATGAGAGGGAAGGTCCCAAGAGAGTCCCCAACCAAGGAAACCCCATAAGCACAAAGATTCCCCCCCCTATAGGAACCCCAACTTTGACATTTGTCCCTTCCCAACCAATCCATCCAAGTTGGCCACCCTTGCCAACCTAGCTTGGTTGTTCCCAACCAATTTGCAGCTGTTACAGTAGAGTGACGAATTTCCCCAACCCCAAAGGTCCCAAATCCATTGTGAGTCACCCCACAACTTCACTTTGTAACCGCCGCAATTGTAACGCAAGCTCAAGAACTTTGAATCTTCATAGCTTTCGCGTTCTTGCTCCGATTGAAGAGATTCTTGTTGAGTCGGAAAGATCTTCTCAAGATCTATCATCACAAATACCTACTCAAACAAAATAACACAGAACACATTCCCAAACTCCAGAACACACCACGCACAAATTCTTTCACACACAGTCAAACCATACATGCGAATTGAAACGAGGGATGGGAGGCAGACAGAATGTGATAGCATATGATGACATCACACAACACTTCTCTTCGCTTAGCTTTGCTTGGCTTGGCTTAGCTTCGCTTCGCTTCACTTTGCTTCGCTTAGCTTCGCTTAGATTCGCTTGGCTTTGCTTCGCTTCGCTTAGCTTCGCTTTGCTTTGCTTAGCTTCGCTTCGCTTCGCTTAGCTTCGCTTAGCTTCGCTTCGCTTCGCTTAGCTTCGCTTAGCTTCGCTTAGCTTCGCTTCTCTTAGCTTCAGTTCGCTTCCCTTAGCTTCACTTCGCTTCGCTTAGCTTCGCTTCGCTTTGCATAGCTGCGCTTTGCTTTGTTTTGCTTCCCTTAGCTTTGCTTCTCTTCGCTACGCTTCTCTTTGCTTCTCTTCGCTTCGGTTCGCTTAGCTTCGCTTTGCTTCGCTTAGCTTCGCTTAGATTCGCTTAGCTTCGCTTCGCTTCGCTTAGCTTCCCTTCGCTTCGCTTAGCTTCTCTTCACTTTGCTTCGCTTAGCTTCGCTTCGCATCGCTTAGCTTCGCTTAGCTTCGCTTACCTTCATGAACGCTTCACTTATCTTCGCTTCGATTAGCTTCGCTTCACTTCGGTTAGCTTCCTGGTCGCTTCGTTCAGCCTCGCTTTGCTTAGCTTCGCTTAGCTTCACTTTGCTTCGCTTAGCTTCTCTTAGCTTCGCTTCGCATTGCTTAGCTTCGCCTAGCTTCGCTTAGCTTTGCTTCGCTTCGCTTAGCTAAGCTTTGCTTCGTTTCACTTTGCTTCGCTTAGCTTTGCTTGGCTTCGCTTAGCTGCGCTTAGCTTCGCTTAGCTTCGCTTCGCTTCGCTTCGCTTCGCTTCGCTTCGCTTAGCTTCGCTTAGCTTTGCTTCTCTTCCCTTAGCGTCGCTTATTTTCGCTTAGATTTTCTTCGCTTCGCTTCGCTTCACTTCACTTAGCTTCGCCTAGCTTCGCTTAGCTTCGCTTAGCTTCGCTTCGCTTCGCTTAGCTTCGCTTCGCTTCCCTTAGCTTCGGTTCGCTTCCCAAAGCTTCCCTTCGCTTTGCTTAGCTTCGCTTAGCTTCACTTCGCTTCGCATACCTGCGCTCTGCTTCGCTTTGCTTCTCTTAGCTTCGCTTCTTTTCGCTTCGCTCTCTATGCTTCTCTTCGCTTCGCTTCGCTTAGCTTCCCTTCGCTTCTCTTCGCTTCTCTTCGCTTCTCTTAGCTTCGCTTTGCTTCGCTTCGCTTAGCTTCGATTCGCTTCCCCTAGCTTCACTTCGCTTCGCTTAGCTTCGCTTCGCTTCGCATAGCTGCGCTTTGCTTCGTTTTGCTTCTCTTAGCTTTGATTATCTTCGCTACGCTTCTCTTTGCTTCTCTTCGCTTCGCTTCGCTTAGCTTCGCTTAGCTTCGCTTTGCTTCGCTTAGCTTTGCTTAGATTCGCTTAGCGTCGTTTCGCTTTGCTTAGCTTCCCTTCGCTTTGCTTAGCTTCGCTTTGCTTAGCTTCCCTTAACTTTGCATTTCTTTGCTTAGCTTCGCTTTGCTTAGCTTCGCTTAGCTTCTCTTCGCTTCCCTTCAATCTTTCGCTTCGCTTCACTTCGCTTCGCTTTGCTTCGCTTCGCTTAGCTTTGCTTAGATTCGCTTCGCTTTGCTTAGCTTTGCTTCGCTTCGTTTAGCTTCGCTTCGCTTCGCTTAGCTTCATTGTGCTTAGCTTAGATTTGCTTCGCTTCGCTTCGTTTCGCTTAGATTCGCTTCGCTTCGCATAGCTGCACTTAGATTCGCTTTGCTTCTCTTAGCTTCGCTTCTCTTCGCTTCGCTTCTCTTTGCTTTTGTTGGCTTTGCTTCGCTTTGCTTCGCTTAGCTTCGCTTCGATTTGTTGTGTGATGTCATCATATGCTATCACATTCTGTCTGCCTCCCATCCCATGTTTTCAACTTGCACGTATGGTTTGACAGTGCGTGAAAGAATTTGTGTGTGGTGTGTTCTGGAGTTTGGGAATGTGTTTTGTGTTTTTTTTTTTGAGCAGGTATTTTGTGATGATAGATCTTGAGAAGATCTTTCGGACGCAACAAGAATCGCTTCAATCGGAGCAAGAATGCGAAAGCTATGAAGATTCAAAGTTCATGAGCTTGCGTTACAATTGCGGCGGTTACAAAGTGAAGTTGTGGGGTGACTCTATATGGAGTTGTGACTATTGGGAGTTGGGGAAATTCGTCACTCTACTGTAGCAGCTGCAAAATTGGTTGGGAACAACCAAGCTAGGTTGGCAAGGGTGGCCAACTTGGTTGGATTGGTTGGGAAGGGACAAATGTCAAAGTTGGGGTTCCTATAGGGAGGGAATCTTTGTGCTTATGGGGTTTCCTTGGTTGGGGACTCTCTTGGGACCTTCCCTCTCATCCCTCTCTTCCATCCCAACCTTTCTCTTGCTCCTCCAATTCCTTGTGAGATTCTTGAACTTTGATTGAACTTTTTGAGATTGAGTTAAGTTCTCCTCCTACAGCTTACCCCCCAGTGCGTCGAAAGACATAGCGTCGCGAATACTCCATCAATCGACATGACTCAAATTGAGAACGGTAGCTAAGATTACAAGCTACAACATATCCGATTTTTGCGACATTCAAATGGCTAGATTTTTGGTCGATGTTGTTTCTTGTGAAGACGACTTTTCTGTCCAGAATTTCGGATTTATATTTTGAGAAATTCTAGCTCCTAAGTTCACATAGACTCCGTCCTTAATCCTAAAAAGTGGTATCAGAGCAATATTAAGGACATTAAGAGGGAGTGGTTTGCCACCCTCCGAGAGTGGCGTGCGAATTGTTTGCCACACCTTAGAGAGGGTTGGGAGTGGTTTGCCACCCCCTAGAGTGTCGTGCAACTCGTTTGCCACCCACTGAGAGTGGCGTGCGAGTGGTTTGCCATCCCCCCGAGTGGTGTTCGAGTGGTTTGCCACCCTCCAAGATTGGCGTGCGAGTGGTTTGCCACCCTCCAAGAGTGGCATGCGAATAGTTTGCCACCCCGCAGTCTGACGTGCGAGTGGTTTGCCACCCTGCAGTGTGACGTGCGAGTGGTTTTTCACCTTCCGAGAGTAGCGTGCGAATGGTTTGCCACGTTCCAGAGTGGCTCGGGAGTGGTTTGCCACCCCCTCGAGTGGCGTGCGATTTGTTTTCCACACCTGAAGTGGCATGCGAGTGGTTTGCTACCCCCCCGAGTGGCGTGTGAGAGGTTTGCCACCCTTCCAGAGTGGCGTTTGAGTAGTTTGCCACCCCCCGAGAGTGGCATGCGAGTGGTTTTCCACCCCCAAAGAGTGGCATGCGAGTGGTTTGCTACCCCCCAGAAGAGTGGCGTGCGAGTGGTTTGCCACCCACCAAAGTGGCGTGCGAGTTGTTTGCCACCCCCACGAGTGGGGTGCGTATGGTTTGCCACTCCTCAGAGTGGCGTGTGAGTGGTTTGCCACCCCTCAAGAGTGGCGTGCGAATGGTTTGCCACCCCCCAGAGTGGCTTGGGAGTGGTTTGCCCCCCCCTCGAGTGGTGTGCGAGTGGTTTGCCACCCCATGTGAGTGGCGTGCGAGTGGTTTCCCACCCCCCTGACTGGTGTGCGAGTGGTTTGCCACCCCCCAGAGTGGAATGCGATTGGTTTGCCACCCCCCGAGAGTGGCGTGCGAGTGGTTTGCCACCCACCGAGATTGGCATGCATGTGGTTTGCCACCCCCCCTATTGGCGTGCGAGTGGTTTGCCACCCCCCTAAGTGGCGTGCGAGTGGTTTGCCACCCTCCGAGAGTGGTGCGTGAGTGGTTTGCCACCCCCTGATAGTGGCATGCAAATGGTTTGCCACGCCCAAGAGTTGCTTGGGAGTGGTTTGCCACCCCCCAAAGTGGTGTGCGAGTGGTTTGCCACCCCCCAGAGTGGCGTGCGAGTGGTTTGCCAACCCCCGAGAGTGGCGTGGGAGTGGTTTGCCACCCTCCGAGAGTGGCGTGTGAATGGTTTGCTACCCCTCTGAGAGGCATGGTTAGGCTTGGATTTAGTACGGGTCAAGTGCAAAACTTCTAAAAGTAATACCTCTTTGCCGACTTGGAATAAGGTCCTACAATTCGATAGTCATGCTCACGAGTCGAACACCGTTTTGAAAACCCACGAATTATGGAACTTAGGAGCTTTTGTTTATTATATAGAATCCAGGTCTCAGCATGGTTAGGCTTTGGTCTAGTATTGGTCAAGTGCAAACCTTCCAAATGAAATATCTCCTTGCCCACTTTGAAACAAGGCCTACAATTTGATAGGCATGCAGGGATGATTCAGCAAGATAGTGAGAATTGAGCAAGGTAAGGGTAATTAAGCAAGGTAGGGGGGATTCTGTAAGATAGGGAGAATTCAGCAAGGTAGGGTTAATTCAACAAGGAAGGGGGGACTCAACAAGGTAGGGTTGATTAAGCAGGGTAGGGTTGATTAATAAAGGTAGGGGTGATTGA